ACGCACGCTGTAGGTCTACACACACACTGAGGTCTACACGCACGCTGTAGGTCTACACACACACTGAGGTCTACATGCACGCTGTAGGTCTACACACACGCTATAGGTCTACACACACACTGAGGTCTACATGCACGTTGTGGTCTAAACACACACTGAGGTCTACACACACATATAGGTCTACACACACACTGTGGTTCTACACACACACTGAGGTCTACATGCACGCTATAGGTATACACACAGGCTGTAGGTCCATACACACTGTGAGAGCCAGACCGGTCTTAGCCGGACTGTCCTTGGGCTCACATGGAAACATGACTGGCTCCCTAAGCAACTATGGTCCACCTGTCCCTACGTGATAGAAGAAATGTTGGTTGTTCCCAGGAGAGAGGTGACTTTGGGTTCACCCCAGGTCACCTTTGGAATTTGAGCTTTGCACACGGTTGTCCAAGCTCAAAGAGAAAGGCCCACCCACTGACCACTGACCCTCCAATTACCTGAGACTGACATTCTTGTTGGGAGTCAGCCCACACTCGTGGTATTCTGTACAGTTGTGTGATGGGAAAGGACCAGGAGACAAAGGCAGAGGTTAGCAAACTTCCATCTGCTTATTTAAACTGAGGCACATAGGGATTCAGTGATTTGTGCAATGACTCAATCAATCAAATCAAAAGTCAACTCCTTCCTCTTCTCCTCCTCCTCATCAAGACTTTAATCCCACTGGACTCCACTGTTAATTCTCCACAGGTGCAGCAATTGGTCCCAAGCAAAGTGATGCCCTAGGAGAACTTGACAGATTAAAGATAACTTGGGATTAACCACAAGCAAGTAAAACCAGATCACAAATCTGGACATTTTCAGGGTAGAGGGAAGTATGACTCTTTTTCCTTGTCTATTTCCAGAAGGGAAATTCCTGCCCATGTTCACTTGGTGCCGTGGAGGAGGAGTTACCCAGTGCTTTCTACACTGAGGGGCAAAAACAATCTGGTGAAGGGGAATGTTGCTGAGTCCGGGCCCCTTCATCACGGTGCATCTTTGCTTCAGTCTTGCTGCTACTTCTTCTTAAGACCTCGGACCATGCTGCTGATAATCCATGACCTCCATTTTCCACATCTGTGCTTCGGACGGTCCTCATCTTTCAGTCACTCGCTCCTCATTTTCTCTTAATTACCATGGTCTTCTCTTTCAGGCATCTTTC